GCAGCAGTGAAGAGGAGAGACTGGGGAGCCCCGTGGTGCTCACGCCTTTAGAGCAGGCTCCTGGCAGTGTGCTGCTGCTGCTGCTGTTGCTGCTGTTGCTGCTGCTGCTGCCGCTGCTGCCAGACACGGATGGAATGCTGATGAGGTCTGCAGTGCGCAGCGTTTGCGGCATCTTCCCTGCTGCTGCTGCTGCTGCAGCAGCAGCAGCAGCAGCTGCTGCTGCTGCTGCTGCTGAGCTTGCTGCTGCAGTCTCTTTCACCCTTCCATGGGCCCCCGTAATCCCCGAGAGAATTGTCTGCGCCAGCGAGCGGATCTGCAGCAGCTGCTGCAGCTGCTGCTGCAGCTGCTGCAGCTGCTGCTGCTGCTGCTGCTGCTGCTCTTCCCGCACAGCGTCTGCACCCCTCTGCTGCCCCAGCAGCCACAGCTGCTGCTGCTGCTGCTGCTGCTGTTGCTGCGTTGCAGCAGCAGCCAACTCTATTTCCTCCAGCAGCTGCTGCAGCGGCTGCGCCTTTGAGGGCGGCAGCACCGGCAGCTTGACTGTGCTCGGGCCTCCTGCTGCTGCTGCTGTTGCTGCTGCTGCTGCTGCATGCGCAGCAGCAACTGCTGCTGAGCCCGCAATGCTCTCTAGAGCCTGTCCCGCCTCTGTCACAGCTGCTGCTGCTACCGTGTAGTTCGGCAGCCACCGCGGCTTAAACTCCCCTGCTGCTGCTGCTGCTGCTGCTGCTGCTGCTGCTGCTGGGGTTGAACCTGCTGCTGCTGCTGCTGCTGCNCTGCTGCTGCTGCTGCTGCTGCAGCATGGTGTGCAGCAGCAACAGGAACAAACCCTGCTGCAGGTGAATGGGAACCCCCATAACGGGGTCGTGACAAACTAGAAGCAGCTTGCTGCTGCTGCTGCTGCAGCAGCTGCTGTTGCTGCTGCTGCTGAGGCTCAGGTATGCTGCTGCTTCTGCTGCGCAGTGGCCCCGATGGCTGTGCTGCAGTTGGAGGTTTTGCTGCTGCTGCTGCTGCTGCTGCTGCAATCAGCGGTGAAGCAGCAGCTCCTGCTGCTGAAGACCCAAGGGGGCGATGCTGCAGCTGGCTGTGTCTCCGCTGCTGCAGCTGCTGCTGCTCCTGGTGCTGCTGCAGCTGCTGCTGCTCCTCATGGTGCTGCTGTGCATGCTGCTGCTGTAGATGCTGCTGATGCAGCTGCAGCTGCCGCTGCTGCAGCAGCGGCATTTGCTGCTGCTGCATTTGATGGTGCTGCAGTTGCTGCTGCATTTGCATGTGCTGCAGCTGCTGCTGCTGC